ATATTCTATACCAGATAATATACACATTCATTGTTATATAATGAAATATGGTCAGAGAAGGTATTTCTTACTGCTAAACCAATACCACCAGACTTTGGTCTATGGTAAAGATATAATTTTTAGCCTTCAATTTCTAGTTCATCGAGCGAATCTGTTTTTGTTTCTTGTAAGCCAATTATATCAGCTTTATTTAATAGAGATGTAAATTCAGAATACTGCAGTTTTCTTCTTAGCCCACATACATTTAGATTGATAAATTTTTGTTTACTGGCAGAACCTGATCAATCATCATTAGTTGTAGTTTCATGACTACACTGGGTGATGATGCAGGTTATGTCTGTGATGTTGTACACTCCAACTTCAGCGGTATGAACTGACTTAAGGGAAGTTGTGCTGGTTTGGAGTTCATCAGTGTGGCCAGTTGAATTATCATCATAATCATGTATCATAGTTTCTGTTGATAATTCTGATATATCAACAGTGTTTATGTTCATTACAAATTCATCATTTACACCATTTGTCAAAGTGTTGTGATCATAGCTTGTATCTTCATTGTTATATGTAGCATCAACGTTACTGGCATCATTCATATGGGTTGAGGATTCATATACACTCATGTTTTTATCTGAGAGACATTGATATCAATGTTACTGGCATCATTCATATGGGTTGAGGATTCATATACACACATGTTTTTATCTGAGAGACATTGATATCAATGTTACTGGCATCATTCATATGGGTTGAGGATTCATATACACTCATGTTTTTATCTGAGAGACATTGATATCAATGTTATCATGAGAGTTTTTATCATTGATATCAATGTTACTGGCATCATTCATATGGGTTGAGGATTCATATACACACATGTTTTTATCTGAGAGACATTGATATCAATGTTACTGGCATCATTCATATGGGTTGAGGATTCATATACACACATGTTTTTATCTGAGAGACATTGATATCAATGTTACTGGCATCATTCATATGGGTTGAGGATTCATATACACTCATGTTTTATCTGAGAGATATCATTTACTGATATCAATGTTACTGGCATCATTCATATGGGTTGAGGATTCATATCTGACACACATGTTTACACACATGTTTTTATCTGAGAGACATTGATATCAATGTTACTGGCATCATTCATAGGGGTTGAGGATTCATATACACACATGTTTTTATCTGAGAGACATTGATATCAATGTTACTGGCATCATTCATATGGGTTGAGGATTCATATACACAAATGTTTTTATCTGAGAGACATTGATATCAATGTTACTGGCATCATTCATATGGGTTGAGGATTCATATACACAAATGTTTTTATCTGAGAGACATTGATATCAATGTTACTGGCATCATTCATATTGGTTGAGGATTCATATACACACATGTTTTTATCTGAGAGACATGGATTATTACTATGATTTTCAGGGGTAATAGATGTTTTGCTAACAGTGTTAGAATCAACATTATTAGGCATTGTATGTTCAACACTTGTATCATTCACATAAGAAGCTGATCTATAAATGTTCTTAGGTGGAGGGATAGCATGATTATCATCACTATTATGATATTGTGAATGGTACTTGAATGGAGATCATTATACATACAGTGTATGTTAAAATGTGTATCAACATAAGACGTACTTTTACACTCACTAGTGTTCACATTGGGAGATATAGCACAATTAGTGACAGTCAAAGGAGTAACACAGTGAACAGTGCATGTATTTACATTGAGGTGCATATTATTTACATAGCTGGAAGTATTCACATGAGAAGATGCTTCATGTACACAAGTGTTCACATGTGAGTGGGTAGCACTATATGAGTTTTCCAGACAGATGGGACTCAAGTTCTCAAGACCACCAGGCGAGGCGACTAACGGGTTCGGGTGGTCAGGCTCGCTGGCTTGGTTGACACATGCCATCGGTTCCCAGTTGCGCAGATCGTTCTCATGCTGTTGATTACTAGATTGTTTCGTCCAGATTCGATTATTTACAGACCGCCGCCATATAGCTGGAATATTGCTGAGTGTGGCGTAAAAGTAAACTCATTCATTCACTCACTCACTCAAGGAAATTGGTTTTGCTATGTTCCAGCCTCACAATCCCCATTTTGTTTGACTTTATGTCTTGCCGCAGAAGTTATAGGGGTATTGGGCTGTAGGGGTTATGGGATGGTTTACCCTCAGCTAGCTCAAAAATGGTTAACTGGATCTCAAAATCAGTCGTGTGTAACGATGCGGTAAATTGCCATTTCTATAGCCAATTAAGCTACAGTGCGTATAAGACTTAGGGTCTCCGGTAGGTTCACTCCCAAAAGACAGACCACCCATAAGACAAACTCAGGGAGTACACTAATTAGCTGAGCCATGCTGTCCACCCCTATTTAATCAATGAGTTGACCCATAGTCACTACAGGGTATAGTAACATATTATTAATCCTTTTACTGAACAGAACAGAATAGAACAGAAATTCTATTCTAAAAAATCACATATAGTGACACAGAGAACATACAGCATATTGATACGTATTAAAACATTGAACAAAGTCCAGTTTTGATAAATTTGGCAACTTTAGAGTTAAGTGGTGAATAATCACATGCTGAATTAGTCTTTGCAAATAACTGGAAAACAGGATGTTTTTATTACTTAAGATTATTTGAAGATGAAAGTGAAATAGTATTTATAAAGTTCAGTATAAACAAAGTATATAAGTGGAGAACAGGGCCCCTATTCTCGAAAGGATCCTAGCCCTAGGATATCCTAACTTTCATCCTAGAGTCTAGGATAGGTGTCCTGCCATATTCTCGAAAAGTATCCTAGCGCTAGGATATCCAAACTTAGGACAAATACTAGGATAGGTTCTGACTTGTCCTAAGTCAATCTTATTGGAAGTCAACATAGTGTGGTTCTTGTTTGTTCACCAACTTTGATGTTGTCAAGCAAAATAACTCGCCTAAATTACACTTGAATTTACAACAGCACACAGTTACGAAGAGTTTTTTGAGTTTATATTATCAATTTATCGATAATGAATAGTACGGAAGCGCTGAAGGGACCTCATGAAATAAAAGTTATCTTGAGCGCACAAGTTAATATCTTGAGCGCTCAAGTTAGTTATCTTGAGCGCACAAGTTAGTATATTGAGCGCACAAGTTAATATCTTGAGCGCTCAAGTTAATATCTTGAGCACACAAGTTACTTATCTTGAGCGCTCAAGTTAATATCTTGAGCACACACGTTACTTATCTTGAGCGCACAAGTTAGTTATCTTGAGCGCACAAGTTAGTATCTTGAGCGCACAAGTTAATATCTTGAGCGCTCAAGTTAATATCTTGAGCGCTCAAGTTAATATCTTGAGCGCACAAGTTAGTATCTTGAGCGCACAAGTTAGTATCTTGAGCGCACAAGTTAGTATCTTGTGCGCACAAGTTAATATCTTGAGCGCTCAACTTCGTGTTTAGCATCTAATGGCATTAATGGAACGCACATTTGCTTGACTGCTGGCTAAAATGTACAAACTTATATCCTTTTGGGAGGATTTCAAACGATGCAAAGTCGGAGTTAACTATATATAGGTGTTTATGATGAGACTATGTAAAAGTATGCAATTGTATTGTGAACATTGATAATGTTTATCATGTAAACGTTCATCGTCTTTATGCTTGTCAATAATATTCTTTGTATCTGATTTTACCACTTGTTGCTTTATTACGTAAAGCAGGCCTAGGTTTGTGTAATGTCCTAATAAGAATTAAAACATAAACATGAGTAGGAGTTTATTGCAGGGATGAATAGTGGTTTTACTTACTTCTTATATTGGTACATAGTATTATGAACACTAGCGTAAAGCTTGGATAACTTGTTTTTTGCTATGGCTTTATTATGTATATATAGTATTACATGACCATGAAAAATGTAAACATGGAGTGTTATACTTAATTATGTTAATTATAAAACTAATGTCTGATGTATTGGAAGTAAAGTCGACCACTTTCAGGGAACTATAGTCTGTAGTCTTGGTTTGCATGTATCAGTAATGTTTCCTAACGTGAGTACAATGGCAGTTTAACTCTGTACAATATCATATAAAACCCGCCTGATTTATTGGATCCATTAGTATGTGCACGTATAGAATATATACCGACTTTATTTCTTACTAAAATACCGTGTTCCCCGTTTCACTTCTTCCGTATCAATCCCTTATGTATACGTATGTGTGTTGTAGTTTATTTAACATGTTTTAACTACACAGGAAGTTGAAGAATAAATACGTCGATGAAGACAGTGTCCTGGGCGAAGTTGAACACCATTCAGGTCCAACAACGACCGTACAGTATCCTGTTTCACGATTAAACCGCATAGGGTACATTTTTGATGCATCAACGATAACCTTGTCTTTGTTCAGATCGCCGAAGTTGTCCGCAATAAAGTATGTAACATAAGCGGGGCGGTGGGGTAGCGTCGTGGTTAAAGCGTCCGATCGTCACGCCTGGGTTCGATTTCCCATATGGGTACAATGTGTGCAGTCCATTTCTCGTGTTCCCCACCGTGATATTGCTGGAATATTGCCAAAAGCGGTGTAAACCGTACTCACTCACTCACTCACTGTAACATCAGCAAATCTGGTATCTGGTGCGAAAGAGGGACATACACCTCAGAATACGCTTCGTATGGCGTACTATACTATACCATGATTTTTGACAAGAAGATGTGTTATGTGTTTGTATTGGAACCCAAGACCGAAATAAGCATGAATCAGCTCGCCTTTCCACTCCTCCTTGCTTGCACATGAACTGCTTATAAAGCAGTGTATCTCAATATACTAAGTTGAGCGCTCAACATACTAACGTGTGCACTCAAGATACTAACTTGTGTGCTCAAGATAACTAACTTGTGAGCTCAATATATTAACTTGTGCACTCAAGATAACTAACTTGTGCGCTCAAGATATTAACTTGTGCGCTCAAGATTAGGGATATCCAGCCAGGGGAGATAACCGAAACAGCTCCTCTCGTAAGCACAAAAACATGGTCAGAAAAATGTGTCAAAACAGGGGGGTGCTTTTACGCGCATTTGTAACGTTACCTCTGATTGCACAAAGAATACAAATACACCAATGAAAAGACGGATAACAAAACTAGAGACACTTTTTTTCATAGTTTGACAAATGTGACGTCAAATGTTGACTTTGTGAAGGTGAAAACTTCCGAAGTGTAAAAAACATATTTATCCAAAGCGCACATGTCTATAAAAAAACTCATAGGTAGACGAATTATCAAGCTTCAATCTGCACTATGAATTGTATTTTTTTAACAACGTGTTCATGTCGAAATAAAAATGAAAAGGGCCCCACCGTCTATACCGGAAGTACTTTTCCCTAGCGATCAAGTGACAGACAGAGCCTGCCAGCTGAGATCGTGTTTGTCAGCAAGCGTGGAAATACCGCCTTTCTACGAAATAGGTGAGTGACAACATTTTTCATGCTTGCAATATTATGTATCCTGAACTAATGAACAAATATACACCATTTATTACCGCCAATCAATCCAATTATGATATATACTTGGCCTAAATAACGTGCACACTGGGTTGACATATTTTTTCGTGAAATTGACATGGTTATCAAAAATGAAATACTACTGACAGTGAATGACAGTAAATGTGATTGTGTGTTACTGCTAGTATATACAAGTTAGCAACATGTGGCAGTTGACCATTTTTGTATTATCTCTGTTTTCAGTTGCATTCCATTTACAAAATCCCTCCACATTTTTTTAAGTTATATAAAAATTGCCATTGTTGATGAAATAACAATAATATGTAATCAATTATTTACTGTTTAAGCCTTGGGCCATTAAATTGTCACGATCTAATTAGTGCGATACTGTGAAGAAAATATGTTAATTTTTATTTTCCTTAATTTTCAGGACCAGGGCTGACCAGCTGAAGAGAAGAAGCCAGACTACTTATGTTTTGCAAAGTGACAGAGATTGGTCGCTATTGTTTCTTCAGATTTTATTATTATCATGCAACTAGACCTGTATGCTGTTTTTGTGATATATTTTAAACAGTTATACCTGCCATATATTGACAGTTTGTGATAGAGTTGAAAGCGCAGGACTGGATAGCACTCTTTCAAAGAAAATGTTTCTTCATCATATGTTGTGCATTGAATTGCATTGATCTTTGCCAAAATAGATTCATATGACCCAGGATCATGAAATAACTTGCAACTGAAACTGTATTTGTTGGAAACTATTTGCTTAAGTATTTATGATCATATTCAAAAGACACCTAGACCACGGCCTCTAACATAAATATCAGATATGTTATATAATGTTATCAATCCATCATGTATGAGATATTGGCTATGATATAAAAAGGCTTAGCTAAGATTGTACATGCTCCTTGGGCCAGGTTTTTGTTTTCAACCCTGTGATATATATTTTATGTATTATGTAGGAGTTTCTAGAACCTTATTTATTCATTTCGTTGTGGTAGATACGCTGTCTGTAAAAAGGAGCAAGAGGTCCCTATTTTACTTGATTTTATTTATTTTGACTCCAGAGACTTTAGTTAACATGAAACTTGCCTTGTATGCATGTATTGTCATTTTCTAGTCATTTCTGGTCATTAATACATGTCACTAGTGGCCAGTTTGTAATATGTTTGAAACAGCAGAATTGGGTACCAATCTGTCAGTGACAGATTTTGTCATTGAATATATTATATATGTCACTTTTATTGCAGACATAGATACACATGATGCCATTTAACAATCTACAATGCATGCAAATATTTTTCAAAAGGATAGAAATATTTTTAAAAATACCCTCGCAAATATATGGTTGGAAAGAAATGTGATAACGTTTTTATGGAGTGATTGTGTTTGAATGCTGATAACTTGTTTATTATATATTATATATGGTGTACAAAACAATATGTATGGGGTAACTTGTCCTTTCCTCTAGCTCCACATAATATTTCAGGTTAATTGTACACGTAGAACTGTAGATATTCTTCGGAATGCATTTAGATCTCATGACCTTCAAATTTCAAGGTCAAGCACATTTTTATAAATAGCTGTAAAATATTCTTATTCAACTTTATTGTCACTTTTTTGGGGTAGAAAGACCTGTCTTACCATGACAATGACTATGTATACTTATTTTGCTTATGTTTTACTCGTTTTCAGACATTATTCATGAAAGCTGTGTTAAAGTTTTAAAAATGATCGATACGGTGCTACGCTTACAGGGTCTCATTTTCATATTGTATAATGTAAATATATGACTATTACCACCAAAATGGATAGACAAGATACCAATACAGAGATAGAATACTTACACATACTTTTTTGAAGTGCAGAAATATTTTGAAATGTTCCTAACCAAAATGGCTGAAAAAAAAAAAAGTCATTTTTTTTTCTGTGGGTAGGTGTCTTGTAACTCTAATAACTTTGTAATAAAAATTTTTGGTATCAAAATCAAAGTGTTTTGTTGTTATTGAAACTTCATTCTATCAACACACCAAATTTGGTTTAAAAATTCCTATAAATAAAAAATGACTGGTAATGCCTATCAAGATACTAACTTGAGCGCTCAATATACTAACTTGTGCGCTCAAGATAAATTATATTTCATGAGGTCCCTTCAGCGCTTCCGTAGAATAGACACTCTTGTTGCAGTGCACACATTCTTTTAGTTCAACAAAAGAGATTTGTTCAATTCTTACCTATTCTCGGCCTTGCTCTTTTCACAACATTGCTCACATTGCCATGATATGTCAATGTCAAGGCCAACTTGTTAGGGGAAGTAACTCCTGTTTATTTCCTATGTGAATTTTTCAGTTTGTGAGATGACGCATAAAGAGAGTTCAAGTCATGATTTTCATTAAAAAACCAAATACAATGAAAATATTTGTTGCACATATCTTTAATATCCTTATTGTTTTTTGGCAGACTTTCTGAAGTAAAATTGTTATGGCCTTGTCAAAAAATGAATTTTCAAAAACTTCAAAAAGAGGATGAAAATATCGAATAATTTCTTAAAGATCTACTAAGTCCATCAAAAGCTGAATTCCTTCTATTATGTGTTTTTTTGTGGAATGAATCATGGGGAATATTTAGAGGAATCCCCAACTTAATGAATGTTTTTCGATCTCACCTACTGAAGAGCTCACTATCCTAGCTAGGATACGGTAGTTACCACAAGTTAGGACAGGGTTAGGATCGTTTCGAGAATGGGTCTTATCATAACGGTAGGATGTCCTAATTTCTTTCTTAACTAGCTAGGATCTGTCTTAGCTGGGACACTTTCGAGAATAGGGGCCCAGGATGTTTTATAATAGTTATTTTTTCACATCATTACATGAATTTATAAAATTATAGTTAATACTTAATGTTGTCTTTTTTATCTGGGCACATACCATTATTATCAAGGGTACAGCTTAATTAAGCTTATGCAACCAACCATAAAATGTGTTTTTTTAAGCGGTCTGTCTTTTGGGAGGTCTATCTTATGGGAAGATACTCTCCGGTCAGGCAGAATTGTGACCCTCGCATAAGGATAGAAAGTTAATTAACACTAAAAGTGAGACATATGCACTCTATTTCATGTTTAAAAAAAATAAAAGTTGTATACTCCTCAGGAAGTTGAGATTGATAATACGATGTGCCGTTGAGATTGACATCCAGTGATCAGGGGAAAAAATACTAGCACCTTGAGCATGCTCTAATTGCCTGGAAAGGGATGGTGTAAATCCAACTAGGGTCCATGCAGGTAGCAAAAGTAAAGTAAGTCCCCATGGTCCCTGGTATGGTGATCTCCCTTCAGTTATTGGCGATTTATAGTCCATTTTTATACTGTATTGTTTTCCTTATAGTTAAAACGTTTTAGATTTAATTACTAGTTTTACATACATATCTGTGATATTCTAGTTGTTTTACTGTCCTTCGTCGGCAGGTTTTTTATAATATACATATACTTCACTTCAATATCAAATGTTCTCGTCACGATATGGCTGAAATATTGCCGATGTGACGATAAATATAAACTCACTCACTCACTCTAGTTGCCTGGATATGTGCGCTATATAAATATCCTATGATGATGATGATGATGATGATGATAAATGTATTACAAAAAATAATAGAAATAGATGTACTGTAATAATAACGAATCTTTTGATGGTGGTCTGACTGGTGGTTGTGTGGTCTTGCAAACTTGACAGGGATGTCATTCTTGGTGTTCGAAGTAGCAGGATAGCCGCTTGTATGTTCCTTATATCTCCAGTATATCGTCTCCTCCACGAATTAGAAGGTTTAACGTCGGCTTTTGGTGGGGGGCACCCATTTCGCCGACGGGTCAGGTGGGGTTTAACATTAATTTATGAATAACTGGTTATAGGAAATAAACCACCATGCCCCAAAAATGTAAATGTAGGGGTTTTAACCTAGATGAATTTGGAATGGAAACGTTTAAAACATGAGATGAACAGAAAAGTAAGAAGCCGAAGTTATAAAGGGAAAGGGATGAAAAAACAGTAGTATTTGTTAATAAATGAGAGATGGATTTAAAACTAAAAATAGATGTAAATGGGGGCCATGCATGGGGTGGGGGTTACTAAGGGGGGAAGAGCCTAGAGGGACATATGAATGAGTGCAGGTAAGCTGCATAGTTTAAATAAGGACCTTATAAAAGTGTAATATACAGCCCTAATTATCTTTTCTCACATTTGTCTTCGGGTTAATTCTGGTGGTGTTTACATTCGACGAGTTTTCCCCGTCGGTATATAGGCAGTGAGTTTCATTGAACTTGGGCAACTGCAGAGAAATTCCATTAATGGAAGTATCTCCCCTTGAGGTACCGCTATCGATTGAATCTATTCTCTGAGACAAACTGAGAACACAGGTGGACAACTGTGACACCAGACCCACAAGATTTGGATCTGAACTCACCACTGGGCGTGGCGGATTGTACGAAGGTGTAGCGTGGATAGAATTGTCCTGAGATTTGAGCTCAGGATACAAACCATTATTCACTGGGGAATGAATGGATGTGTTTGAACTAAGTACATCAACTGGTGAAAGCTGAGGTGGTATAGTACCAGCAACATTCTCAGACTCAGCCCTATAGGCATTATCTGGAGAAGTATTTGTCACAGAGTGTACCTCTGGAAAGCTGTGCATTTGGCGAAAACTCAAATTACCTGCCGGACCATCCACAGAGTTTACTCTCCTTAGATCAGGGTTATTTTGACTGTGAAACTCAATTTTTATGTAATGGGAAACTTTATCTTGAAGTTATAATAAAAGTTACCAACTTACTTTTGTTTTATTCAAGTTATTTACTAAATATTTCTTTGATCCACAAGAAAGGATCCCACCGCTGCCACCAAAAAACTGTAACGGTTCAATGGGGGTAAAATGAGAAAAATAAATTTCATTTAAGTAGCATGTCGGTTCTGTGGACAACTCTCACTTTTACCCTGTTAATTACAGTTTTTACCAATTAAAAAATAACTTGACAACATGAAGTTGAATCAATGAACAAGAATTTATTACATATAAATTTATCAAAGTTAGTAATGTCAAATATTATACTAACTAGAACAAATTTCTGGTTAAGTAAGTTCTGTCTGAAGCAAAGCTTGGATATAGTATTAGAAAAGATAATTAGGGCTGTATATTACAAAAGAAAGAAAAAAGGGGTTAAATTGGTGGGGGTGGGGAGTAGGGGGAGAGCGAGGAAGGCAGTGAGGCAGGGGCCGTGGCTGTTGGTAGAAGGCTGCGAGTGAGCTGGCTGGGGTGTATATGGCCTCGACCTTGTACTGGAGAGGTTGGACTGGTTTGTTTACTATTTAGTGGAGGCTGATTGGCTGAGGGAGGGCGCGGACCTCGTAGCTGATATAAGGCGCTATGGATAAATGGAATTGAGTCCCAGGTCTAAATGAGTGGGCTTATATTGGTGATAGAGATATAGTATGGATAAGTGAAATTTTGAAGCCTGGTCTAAATATATGAGCTGGTGAGCAGTGGTGTTGTTGAAATTTGTTCGGGAGGTTCTAAATTTTATAAGGTAGCTTAGAGTTTTGTAGGAAGGTGGCTATGGCTTGGAAGATAATGGGTGGATTGTGGGGGTTGTAAATTATTATGGTATTTGGGTGGTATATTGCTGTGAAGTTGCCTAATGTTTGTTTGTTGTAGGTGACATTGTGTAAATATGTGTTTAATGTCCTCTGGTGTGTTGGAGTGGGTGCATAGTCCATCTGGGTGTCTATTTTGCTTGTGTAGTGTATAATTGAGATTTGTGATGCCTGTGATAAGCCGGTTTATGCTGGTGTCAATGTTTTTGATATTGGAGAATGTAGAAAGTTTCTTAATAGGTGCTTTGATGATATTTTTTACCCATGTTGATTTGTTATTGTTTATGTTGTGCTGGAAGTTTGTTTCGGTTATGTTTGTTTTAATGAGTTGTTTGGTTTCTGTTTTGGATGTGTGGAAGTTGATACTTGGTCAGTTATGTGTGGTGGCAAGCTTCGCGGCTGTGTCTGCAGTGTTATTTCCTGGCATGTTAGTGTGGCTGGGTATCCATATGAATGTTATGTTTTTATGTAAGCGTTTAAGTGAATCGGTTTGAATAGTGATATTGTGAATTAGATCCGGGCGTGATTTTGAGTACATATTACGTAGTTGTCTCATGGAGCTGAGCGAGTCGGAGAATATAAGGAAGTTTGTTTGCTGTAGAGTGGGTATTAAGTGCAGTGCAGTGAGGATTGCAGTTAGTTCTGCAGTATTGATGGTGGTATGGGTAGTATAGTGCAGGTTTGTTGTTAGAAGGGGGAGTTGCTGTACATGGATGCATCTGTGTAGATGTGGGTGGAATGGGTAGTATGTGTTGTTTATTATGTTGAGTTTAGTGTGAGTGTCAGTGTTGTTTCGCAAGTTTTGTAGAGTGGAGGCTAGGGTGGTGTCTGTATTTAGTGGTGGTTTGTCGTGGATGTAGCTTGTAATGGGAGGTGTGTGTTGTATAGTGTTTAGCTGTTGTACATGTAGCAGACTGGTGAGGTAGGTGAGGCATGGAGCTTTGGATGGGTTGCATTTAAACCATTTAGGTGTAGATTTTTAGTGTTGTTGTATTTGTCTGTGTTTAGTTTGAAGATAGGGTTGTGTTTGGCCCCAGCCCAGTAAGTGGGTGTAGTTTGGTTGATTCTGTGGGTGACTTAAGATGTGCCTGTGATGAGAAGAAGTGTATTGAGGGATGTACCACTCCTCGTGCCGGTGGCAAGTTTGAGGGCCTTGAACTGTACTCGAATTTAATTTTTGAAGGTTATTAGGGAGAGGGTTATGGAGGACCGGAGCAGCATAATCCAGTATCGACTGTATGAACGTTTTATATATATTGGCAAGTGTGTGTTTGTCGGCACCCAAGTTTGTGTGCTGATGGCTCGCATTAAGTTTAAATATTTTTGACATGAGTTGACCAGGTTATGAATGTGGGGTGTCCATATCACATGGTGGTCAAAGGTTACTCCTGGGAATTTAGCTTCTTTTTTTAACAGAATTGCTTGGTTATTTAGGTGTAGTTTGGGGGGTGTAATTTCGCATAAGTTGAGTTTTGAATAATATGCCCACGGGTTTTTTAACATTTATGTGGAACCCCAATTTTTGGGCCCAATTTTGTATATAATTTAGCATTGTTTGAATTTTTGTTGATGCCTGTTTTACTGAAGTGGAGGAAGTTCAAAATGAGACATCATCAGCAAATTTAGCAGTTGAGATTTCAGGCCATTTATCTGGGAAAATGTCATTTATCATGAAATTGAATAAAGTTGGGGATAATATGATCCCCTGGGGGGTTCCATTCTCTAGAGGATATGGATCTGAGATTGTGTTGTGAGATTTGATTGTTATTTGTTTGTTATTTAAGAAAGAGTGAATTCGGTCGTGTATGGCATGTTTTGGAGTTTTTGTAGCAGGCCGTTGTGCCAAACCATGTCGAATGCTTTGCTAAAATCAATGAAAATGGCTATAGTGTATTGTTTCTGTGCCTGTGCTACTTTGATACCTTGTTCGAAATGTAAAACGTGGTCTAAAGTTTATCGATTGGGAGTAAAGCTGCTCTGGTCCTCCTTAATTATATTAACTTTTTGGTACGAATGAGATGTTTGAGCCTGTTATTTATAATGGTTTCTAGGGTTTGCATAGGTGGGAGGTGAGTGATATGGGGCGGTATGAACTGGCCTGTTCTTTGGTTTGCCTGGTTTGAGGATTGGTACCACCCTGGCTGTTTTCCATGTGTTGGGGAAAGTCCAGATATGATTGAAGAGAGTGAGAGTAAGGTTTTGCATGTTGGGTGGGAGTTTATGAAGTATTGTGAATGTAATGATGGCATCTGGACCTGGGGCTGAGGCTGTTTGTTTGTTTTTAAATGCAGATTTGAATCCATGTATGTTGTGTGTGTGTGAGGAGTGTGTGCGCGCGCGTGCGTGTGTGTGTGTGTGTGTGTGTGTGGGTCTGTGGAGAGTAGGGGTGGTGGTTTTAATGGTGTTTTGGAAGGAGGGTGGGTAGTTGGTGGAGCTGCTTCAGGCCGAGAAGTGGGCAGAAAATGTGTTAGCTTTATCTTTGTTTGTGGCTAGGTCCTGGAAGTTGGGTGAAATGGGTTTTTTGGAAATGCTCTTTATGGCTTTTAAATTTATTCCACAGGGTCCTAGTGTTACGATGAGTTTGCCTTAGGGTAGAGCAGAAATTTCTCCAATGAATGATTTTGCCTGCCTTGATAATTGTTTTAGTTTTATTTCTAAGTTGTTTAGTCAAAAGTAATTTTGAACGGTCCCTTTTGATTGGTTAAGGGCCTTTTACTTGACTTTCTGGCATTAATTATTTCTGGCTCCACCAAGGGACGTTTTTGTGCAGGGTTAAACTGAAAGGTGGGGATGCATTGATCTGTGATGTCTAAGATAGCATTAGTGAGGTTGGTGTTGAATGTGTCTATGTCTGAGTTGTAAAATGATTGCGGTGTCTATTTGTTTGCATAGTGTGTTAAATTTATGCAAGTCTGCTTTTTATGTTGTATCTGGTTTTGTGGGTGTTGGTGGGGGTAGGTGGTGGGTGAAGTGGGGTTGGCATGTGTGAGCTGATGGTGATTTTGATGGCGCAGTGGTCGCTGCCCCAGGTGTCGTTGTGAACCTCCCAGTTACAAGCTTGTGCAAGATTGGGTGTGGTAAGTGTAATGTCAATGGCTGTAGGGGGATTGTAGGTGGGAGAGTGGATATCGTGTATGCTGGTTGTCGTTTAGTGAAGTTAGATGGTGTATGTCTAGCCAGTAAATGGAAAAACTGTATGGGAACCACCTATAGTGAGGCAGTGGGTACGGTGACCAGATACTGGGCTAGACTGGTCAACTTGACACCGAGAAGGCTTGACATGAGAATCTTTGAGTGGACTGAAAAGTTCAAGAAAAAGACGTGGAATTCCAGAGTAACCTCACATTTACGGAAGCTTGAATTGGACAATTTGTGTGACACAGACTCACACATAAAAGGGAAAATGCTTGATCGGCTTGTACCTGAAGCAGTCTCCATACAGTATAAAATCTCATGGACAACCCAACTTATGCGAGACAACTGTAAACGAGGAAACGGCCGAAATAAGTCAAGGACCTATAAACTTTATAAGCTAAAGTACTCTGAAGATACATATCTAGGGCTTCCGCTGAGATGTGACCACCTAAGTGCCTATGCCAAATTCCGATGTAGGATAGCACCGCTACATGTAGAGACTGGCCGCTACAGTAACACCCCATTCAGAATCAGGATGTTCTCCCCTTAGCCATAGATCTTGTAATTGTGATAACTTCCATTTTATGTATATGTATGAACTGTGATATTCTCCATTTGTATTTACATGTATGTGGCTCCCTGTGTGTCTCATAAGCCATATCGGCCGGACACTATACATACTATTGGGTGTATTTTTATCGTCATTGTTTTACAGTGTTTGACACGAAAATAAAATATTTTTCTTCTTCTTCTTTTTCTTCTTCTTGCTTCTTCTTCTTCCTTCAGTTGTAAAAGGACATATTGCCCGTGTCCTATATTGCATTGTTTTCTTTGATTTAAATGCTTTACTTTTACATATTAGTTTTATGTTCATATCTTTGATACTCTAGTGTTTCCACTGTCCATCGTCGACAGGTTTTACTCTCCAAAATGTTTTTATCTTTATTGTATAAATTGTTTTCGTCACGATGTGGCTGAGATGTTGCCGATGTCACGTTAAATATGAACTGACTGATTGATTATTGCGTTTCAGTAATGAGGCAGACAAAGGACAGTCACATCTGTGACAGACTGGGCCCCATGCAGAATGTGGACAGTGCAGCACATCTCCTTGGTGACTAGGAATACATCTTGAAATGTGAAAAAAGATGAATGTTTCACTCATGTCACACAGTATGTTATATGCATCTAAAAAATTATTAATGAGGTAAAAGTTTACGTCACATCGGCAATTGTTCGGACATATAGTGGCGAGAAACGTTTGGTTTTGTAAAACAATGAATTATGTAACTTCTTTGAGTGGCGGGGCGGTGGGGTAGCCTAATGGTTAAAGCGTTGGCTCGCCACGCCGAAGACCTGGGTTCGAATCCCCACATGGGTACAATGTGTGAAGCCCATTTCTGGTGTATCCCGCCGTGATGTTGCTGGAATATTGCTAAAGCGGCGTAAAACCAAACTCAGTCAGTCAGTCTTTGAGTGGCATTTTAGAAGTTGGGAAGTACAATATAGAACAAACATTATGCCTGACAACGGTACAAGAATCTATGCTTGACAACGGTACAAGAATCTGTATCGAAACGTCGCACTCACGAATAAAAAGAAGTTGTTATCCATAAAGTTTGTTTTATAATGAATTATGTATTAAATTTTGTATCTTGTATATCTTTGACATGCATCCAGCCAACAATATTTGTTCATCTATCCGTATATACATTCAAACATATTTTAAATCTATTTATCCTAAAGATGAAATGGGAACATTTATTAATACATCTCGGAACAAATGTATGGACTCTACCATACCCAGATGACCGAGTAATCATCCAGGCATATAGTTCCTGAAGGAATATTTGTTGATACTATCACGATATACCGGTGAGTAAAGATTTACGAAACTTTATTCAATAGCCAACAGTATTGCGCAAACCTCCGCTACATTGACTCTGTTGTTATAAGGACATCGGACCCGTATACGCAGAGGCCAATTTTATTAACTTAAAGAGAGATGTTGTACTATACAAGCAAGGTTATTACGAACATCTCAACTAGCTTTTAATTTCCATAGAACATGTTCAAAAACTGCATGTCGACAACCGAAGCTTCTGACTCTCTTAGCATTTAGACATTGCAAAATGAATACATGCGCTCCAAACGACTAATGATAAGGCCAGGGGGATAAGCCATGGTTTAGAAGCGACATTAGGCGAACAATCCGTATGAGAGAAAGATTAAGGCAAATGGGCAAGATAATCCCAAAATACAAGCGACTCTATGAGGTACAGTAGGTACTTGTTGAGGCAAAAGTGATTTATTTCCACTAACGTTAAAGTGAAAAAGTATCTAAAAGAGATTTTCCAACTCAAATTCACATCAAACCCTGCCTAACCCTAACCCTAACCAAAAGCGAAACACGGTCCAAACAAAACCAAAATCCCAAAACGTATTAATAAGATTGTCTCTTTGATTCTTGATAGCTTCTCTTTTGCTTGACAATGTTGCTACAAATGTTCAAATGTTAATGTTTTCTCCTTTCTGAGTTGTCCGTTGTTGGTGATGCTATAATACATGTACTACGATGTCCAAATATTCATGGACAAAGAATACATTTGAATAATGCATTCAATAGCCCTTCAATTTAGTCAAGTCACATTAAAATCCAGTCTGCAATTATATAGAAAGGGAATCTATACGTTAATGACAATGACTTCATTTCAATAATCCATTCACATAGTTCCATAGAAGGCTACTCCTGTTTTGTCACAATATTGCTTGAAAATTCAAGACATTATTTCAGTTTTTCAGTGAACGCTACGATGGTGTCGTCTTCAATTCCTTGTGGAAAGGGGACAGTTTGGTAGCCTGTTGGTAAAAGTGTTTGATCGTCACACCAAAGATGTGATTTGATTCCCAACATGGACACAGTGTGATACAGACGTTTACAGAGATATGGATTGAATATTCCTAAAAGCAGTGTAAAAACTATACTCAATCACTCCTCGTGGACAGAAACACTTCCGTGCTGTCAACGTGCTGTATCTTCTAACAATGGGCGACGACATGGGTTATTTACCAATGACAGCCATTGACTACAATCAGTATTTGGTCATCAGATCGCTGAGAATATTGTTCACACCTACATTGCCATTTCTGGAAAAAGGAAGTTGTTCCTGGGGCTGGACAAGATTGGTTATTCTTCACACTGATGTTCGGTATTTGATAAGCAAAGCCGCATTTTACGAAGAGAGTTGGGCGATCGCGAGCCCCACCTCCTCACATTTATTATTACTTTGAGAGTTTTCGATCAGAAAAAGCAAGACTGCACAGTACGGTCGACTGCCCACACTACAAGGACGGTGATTAACCTGTGTTTGTCCATTAAGTGGCCCGCAGGTTCAAGGACATTGTCCTCAGTAATCTTTTCCCCTGAGTACACCCTATTTCTTGCATGCATTTTTAGGTCCTAATTTACGCGTATGAGGCTTTACATACAAAAGCTGTTAAGTAGATCAAAAGCTATTGAGTAGACATTAAACTCCGCACTGAAGGCCCCCGGCAGTTTCAGTTTCTCTGTAGCCAAGTATATTAATTGTGTGATGTGTGTCTTAAGTATGTGTATGAAAACATCATCAAGCAAGAGCTTCCATAATCGGTTGCTTTATCTTGATGTTTGGGACACAGATGTTCAATCGAAATTGATCAATATTAAACCCCCTATTATTATTTCTCAAATTGAATTTCATTAACGTCGTGATAATGTCGCAAGGAAAACGCAATTATACTAATAAACCTGTATACATGTAGTTGTTGCCACATGATGCTATCATAAACAAACTATACATGATTAGTATTGCGATGTCAAATTATTTGATTTCTGTTCTAAAACAAGACACGAGTGACTCTTCAACAAATAGTGTAGATCTATTGTATTTCAGTCCATGATTTTATTTTTGCTTGAAAAGGGTTTGCCAAATTCTAAAAGCTTCCAAATTTACAGCTAAGATGATTGTTCTCCTAATATGAAACAAAGCTCTCTTCTCGTGTTTTGTTGCATATGTATGGGGTATTCAGATAAGGCAAACATGTTGGTTCACCAATCGGTCTTTTCTTGGTGAATAAAATATACGTTAACAACATCAAGAGCATGTGTGACAAGTTTGAACTATGTTCACGACACACGGGTCCTATGTCAAGTCAAATACACTCCAACGTAATGCCAGTCTCGGTCATGTGTCAGTGGCTTCATCCCCGAGACTTTCAGCATCAGCTGATCACCAGCATCCAGCTGTACCAAGCCATGGATATCACTGGAGTACTCAAGACTTGCTCCATCAATGATGTTGTTCTTGTTCTCGCTGATGACATCCCTCAATACTGTTTCTTCCTCTTGCTTCAGTGCACTGTACCGTGCTATATTGTGATGAAAGTCAGACTCAGAATCACCTTGACGATTCTTTTCTGTGTAAAACTTGACATGGCTATATACGACGTACACTCCAGTGGCGGGTACTACGATGCTTCCATTCTCATATTTCATTCCATTGTACAGCAGTTGTCTTCCTGGTCCGATGAATGGTACCCAGTTCCTAATCGGAGTGTCTTCAGATGTGTCTGCTGAAATGTTTCATCAAAATGAAAGTGGCAGTGAACCCTCAAGGTGAACTTGGACTTGAAGTAGTAAGTGCTGCTTTGTCAACTTAACCTTTGTCTTAGTTTTTTAGATTTAAAGCGAATCATCAAACAGCAGATACATAAATTAAGTGGAGTATTTTTGTGGTTTTACAAATAAGAATATATGATTGAGGAACAGTCATATTCTTACAGGATGTATAACTTTCTGACAAGTTTCTTTCCTAAATATATTTTAAACAACTTATACTACGAAACATTCAATATCGTAATCGAGTTGTATAAGCTTTTCCTAGAGTACCACTTTGAACCTGACGGCGATTCACTCATGAATATTATACAATGCATAACCGTTTATTTAGCTCAAATAGGAAACAACAAGTTCATACTGTTAGCAAATATATTCATGCATACCTTCTTTGTAGCCAGTCAAGTCAAGTCCAGGGAAATATGCTATGGGTTTCAATAGATTCAGAAGATCTGCCGGTGTTCTGGGTTTCGCCTTGTCTGCAACAAGTTGAAATAGCTATGCATACCTTATAAAGAATTAATCAAAGCGGACAAGGATTCGAACCCAGAATAACAGGTTCCTAGCCCGACGAATGGCCGGAACGGCCCTAAACTAACAAGTTAGATTTCCTATATCTACGAATGTTCCATACTGCACCATGTATAGATTGAGGAGAGAAAATATTGTATCTCCAACAGTGAATGATAATAGTCTAGCACAATCCACTATCTTACAAAGTTCTTTTAACCATTAAAGTTGATTAATTTGGAGATACACAACAATTACACACATATGTTTCTACATCTCGTTGGTGAAATTATCAATCTGGCTTTTTATTTCATTTTTATCATTTCCGATCTCTTTCGAGCGTGTTCCAATCCGTACACGAAGAAATAGAAAATTGTGGCTACATTGAAATGATGTATGCAATTTTCTTTCTTTGGCAGTCGTTTATGGGCGCCTATGAAATTATACTCACTTGTTCCTGCATTGGTGAACGTGGCCTGGGTTTTCTCCAAGTGTTCAGTGTAGATCTACAGAAGAGAATACACAGACATAATATGTCTGACCAGGCATTTTATTGATACATGCTCAAACAAAGTATAACGTTTAAATAATCGTTACTTCAAGTCTAGACCGAACAATTGTTTGTTTGGGTGTTTCCGATCAGCTATTTATTGATACATGCTCAAACAAAGTATAACGTTTAAATAATCGTTACTTCAAGTCTTGACCGAACAATTGTTTGTTTGGGTGTTTCCGATCAGCTATTTATTAATACATGCTCAAACAAAGTTTAACGTTTAAATAATCGTTACTTCAACTCTTGCACGAACAATTGTTTGTTTGGGTGTTTCCGATCAGCTATTTATTAATACATGCTCAAACAAAGTATAACGTTTAAATAATCGTTACTTCAACTCTTGCACGAACAATTGTTTGTTTGGGTGTTTCCGATCAGCTATTTATTAATACATGCTCAAACGAAGTATAACGTTTAAATAATCGTTACTTCAACTCTTGCACGAACAATTGTTTGTTTGGGTGTTTCCGATCAGCTATTTATTAATACATGCTCAAACAAAGTATAACGTTTAAATAATCGTTACTTCAACTCTTGCACGAACAATTGTTTGTTTGGGTGTTTCCGATCAGCTATTTATTAATACATGCTCAAACAAAGTATAACGTTTAAATAATCGTTACTTCAACTCTTGCATGAACAATTGTTTGTTTGGGTGTTTCCGATCAGCTATTTATTAATACATGCTCAAACAAAGTATAACGTTTAAATAATCGTTACTTCAACTCTTGCACGAACAATTGTTTGTTTGGGTGTTTCCGATCAGCTATTTATTAATACATGCTCAAACAAAGTATAACGTTTAAATAATCGTTACTTCAAGTCGTGAACGAACAATTGTTTGCTTGGGTGTTTCCGACCAGCTATTCATTAATACATGCTCAAACAAAGTTTAACGTTTAAATAATTGTTACTTCAAGTCTTGACCGAACAATTGTTTGTTTGGGTGTTTCCGACCAACTATTTATTGATGCATTGTCAAATGAAGTTTAACAAATTTATATTTGCTTCTCAAGATTGAGTTAGTGATAACGTTTGAGGTAAGGAGGAGTATACTTGGTATTGGCGTAATGCTTAGTACAATGACCTATGAACGGGAAACACTTTCTCAGTCGAAACAGACACATCGTGGCACTTGATGAACATATAAACCAAACGTTTCTGTTATATCGCGTCCCATCTTAATATTGGAAGAAAACACAATGTAAAGCAGTGAATGGTTATTGGTGAATGGTCATGCTCTCGAAGACATTTCTCAACGTTGAAGAGAAAATCTAAATCAGAGGAAACCTGCATTATAAAGACACGTGACCATACTCCGCAAATATAGCAGCAGTTTATAATCCATAATTCAATTCTTACCCGAATGAGTTGTTGCTTGAGTATTTCTGAAGTTTTCCAGTGTTCATGGTGCTGTCTTGACACGACAAGGCAGATAACCCCGATCCCAACAGCTATGTTTAGCAGGAGCACAGTTGCAGCTACACGTTTGGCTGGTGTTTCCATATGATGGATGATGTTGGACAAGGATGAAGCAAACACGGAGAAACTGATGGAAGCAGTGACCTTGTGCGAAAGTTTGAGACAGAGATAGTAGTATCCCTCTGTGTACAGTTTATATAATTATATTGTTTTATCACCGAATGTACAGTTTGTGTATATTTCATTTTTTACAAGCACCTCTTCGACAAATACTGCACTTTTTTTTCAATAGCTGACTGAGTTTGGTTTTACGCCGCTTTTAGCAATATTCCAGCAACATCACGGTGGGGGATACCAGAAATGGGCTTCACACATTGTACCCATGTGGGGATTCGTACCCGGGTCTTCGGCGTGACGAGCCAACGCTTCAACCACTAGGCTACCCCCACCGCCCCTTTTTTCAATGGGTTAGAGACCGAATCAATATCATTTTAAGCGTACAAGTGTACAATTTATATAATCGTATTTTTTACTAGCCCCTCTTCAATCAAATTCCGTACTTTTATTGCGATGTGTGAGATATTGAGTTATTTTTTTATTCGTCATCGCATAGTTATATTATTAACAAATGGTATTATTTACAATCACCTCATCAAATAATTCTTTTCTATGATTTCGATGTGTGAGAGATAGAGGTAATATTGTTTTATGCCTCATTTTACATTTTTTGATAAATATTATTTACTAGCACCTCTTCAACATATAGCGTAGTTTTATTACAATGTGTTTAAGAACGACGGACTCTAGTAAAGAACAGTGTTAGAGTTAATATGACTTTATGCCTCAGCCAGCAAATCCCTTATATCCCCATCGTATTGGACCATATACCTGTGAAATAAATATAACTTCCATTCCTTCATATCACTCTACATGTTTTAAATGCTTCAAATAAAGGATACTTTTTGTGGAGGAAGAACACGAGGAAAATCACACATTCAGCTAGACTAATAAACCATGGATCTTTATGTACAAATATATTCGTTGACTCAGAAACCACCGATAACCATTATGAACATGGCTGGTGCATTCCCACTGAAAAACTGTGTATTATTTCCCGGGGAAGTTCTAAGTATCTGCGAAGTTTGTATGTGTATTGCGATCACAAATCTCGGGATTTTAATGTAGGTGATAACGAAAGTACTCTTTATCAAGTCAATGATCTTCCTAAGAATACTTTTGAATACATGTACATATATGTCCTTAGAAATAAATAAACACACGTAATAGCCGTTTGTTTAGATACTGCACACACAAAGATATTTTTACGATTGTGTAATTCAAGTTTCTCGGTAAGTGAAAACAGGTTGATGAGGGGAAATCCCTTGTTCACTCATGGCCTCAAGTCCTCACAGAGTTACCTCCCTTACACCACTTCAACCGACCGCGCAATGTTTCTTCTTGTGGGATGAAATGTGTTGATGTTGTTGTAAGTGATACACTTGAAACGCTATGATGTTTAACATTCAAACCTTTTAATTTTATAGTTAATAAGACTAATTTTATAAATGAAGATTATATCCACATAGCCAGTCTAAAGCCAGAAAGTCAAACACGAAATGGGGGTTTAAGTATACTCACGTGAGACACACAGTAGTGGGTAATATGTGACTTTTGTTACAACAGTAAGATGTTCAGAGTGAACACACAGTCAGGAATGGTCACACACCAGGAAGGATACTGGGCAGTACCAGAGAGAATGTGAAAGTAGGAAAACAGCGGTTGGCTTAACGGGGATTATGCTGAAGTGAAACAGAAATTGTGATTGAAAAGGGAATTTTGACTTTCCTAAAATAAATGTGACATCACAATAAGTAATATGATGTGAATACTGCCACACATTTGCAGGAAGTAACCATCATTGTTTGAACCGGCTGCAGCTGTAAGTCAGTTTGGGATAGGTGGTGCTTTGGATATGTTGCGCCTTATTCGCTGTATATCACTATACGGAAATGTGTTGCTTAAATGCAACACTGTCTATTGCATTGTTTCGATTGATAGACAATTTAATACGTGTGGGACGGTTCATTTCTGAAAATGTTTATATGATAAGGACCAATATAACATCGATGGCTTTGCACATTTACAAAAGATGACATTTTATTAGGTTGACTGTTTTCTGCACAAATTGTATGTTCAGTGCTGACAATAGTTCGTACGGATTTCTGAAAACGAATGCATATGTCCTAGTAGAAATATTTGCATTCGTTCATATAGGTAATTCACAGTGGCTAATTTGGTGAAACGTTGTCTCATCAATATATAGCCTGGGTTTGCTTCCCCACAAACGTACAACTTGTGATGTTTGTTTCCCCTCTATTGGAATATTGGTAAAAGCTTCCACTTAAAGCCTCTCAAACTCTATCCCACACCCGACTCACACCTCCACTATCAATCCACTTACCCGGTCACCCATCCAATTTAACCTTATTTTTAGCACACTTTTGATAAATTTGGCAGTGTATTTGCAATATGTTTTAAGATTGAGTGAGTGAGTTTATTTTACGCTGCAGCAATATTCAAGCCATATGGCGGCGGTCTGTAAATAAATGGATCTGGACCACACAATCCAGTTATCAATAGCCCGAGCATCGATCTACGCAATTGGGATACGATGTCATGTGTCAATGAGCCTGACCACCAGATCGATCCCGTTCGTCGCCTCTTACGCCAAGCATTGGTTACTGAAGATCAATTCTAACCCGGACCTTCACGGGTATACGTTTTAAGAACGGCTGAATGTTTTGAGATGGTGTGATTAGCGGGGCTACGCTTGGCGAGACACAGAAGGTATGTTCACATTTTTTCGAGTCGATTTGGTATGTGTGTTGGAAATGCTATATTAACATGATATTAATAATATAACTGCTCTTTTATCAAAATTTGTACCCACTCAAAAGTTTTAGCATGGATGCAAATCAAAACCAAAATGCTTATGAATTAACTACTTTAATTTTTCTTTTGGTGTTGAGCTGTATTCAAAAATTCTCTTTTTAAGTTATGATGTGCACCAGCAATATGTTGTTCTTATTACAATATAAATATGGAAGACACGTGATACAAAAATAATTATCCAGATCATTGATATATATTTTTATTAATTTGTAAAAGCATATGAACCTAAAATTGTTTAAAAGATTTGCAGAGCAACCTTCTCTTCAGAAGTTTAATACTATTATATCAACAACAAACATGAAACACTCAGACATATGTCTTCCATGCAAACTCTTTGAGAGATGATTCATAGTTATTGTTCTAACTCCCAATAGATGATGTACTTTGGAGCAAAGTGAAACCATATTTGTACCTATACTACCCATCAAAACTTTAGACTCACTAGTGTAAATGTAACCACTTACTTCAGGCAACTGTTCTAAACTAGATTTTGAAAAATATTCCATACTGTTTAACGGTGCTGTTTACACATGAATTGATGTATTGGAAAACAAATTCATAACGGTGAAAAGATAACTGTCATGAGTTCCATAAATGATGAACCTCAGTAGAAATTGGCGAATTCTTAACAAAACTTTATACCAAAACGCAGCAGTTCACATGCACGATATTTGCACATATTTGCACAGTTCATCTGCATAAGGTTTGCAGTTCGTTCCCCAAGTTAGTGGAGAAATTCATCTTCGATATATATATATATATATACATAACATAAAGTGAGTGCTGTAAGTGAGTCTAAACTTTTGATGGGTAGTATATTCAAAGGTGGAAACCACGTTGGTTGAGCGGGTTATAGGCAGCTGACTTTGTTTGCTGGCGATTATGTGGCTGATTCTGATGGTTTGTGTTCGAATCCCGGATGGGATTCAACCTAACAAAAGTACTAGAATCTGTACTCTACTAAGAAGGTGTAATCCTAAATATAACGTGTGTTACATCTTAAAATATACACTAATATTGTGAATATGGGCCAATGGCATCTTGTATAAAGGTTACTATTTACTAGTGGGTGTACCTGCATGGGATACCTGTGACGATCCGGGTCAGAATTGGTCTTCAGCAACCCATGCTTGTCGTGGAAGGTTACTACCGGGATCGGGTGGTCAGACTCGCTGACTGGGTTGACTTGCCATCGAATCCCATTTGTGTCGATCGATGCTCATGATGCTGACCACTGGATTGTCTAGTCCCAACTCGAGAACTCCCAGCACTTTCTTATGTTTAATAAAACCATGTTCCAAGGCGGTATTTGTTACCTGGTCAGAGTATCGGGACCTGTACTGCACATTAGGCATATATTTGTATGTTCAGACGTACAATACACTATGGTGGCTCATTCGGGCCATCGCTTTATCGCCCTGAAAAATCTAGGCGATATTGCGACAAAGCGATAGCACGACACGATATTGCGATATGGCGACACGATATAGCGATATTGCGATACAACCCAAAAACGAAATAGCGATAACACGACACGATATGGCGATAGCAAGACACGATATGGCAATAGCAAAACACGACATTGCGATAACTCGACACGACAGTGCGATAACTCGACACGAAATGGCGATAACACGACACGAAATGGCGAAACAGCGATATTGCGATATAGCGATACGGCGATAATGCGATATAAACAGGCGACACAGTGATAGTGCGACATGACGATATAGCGATACTGCGATATGGCGATAAAGCGATATATTCATCTTTACATGACTTTGTGTGTATGTGGTATGTACTTATGTGTATTTGTGTGATGCGTCCATGTTGTATTTGAATTAGTATCGTATTAGTTTAAGTGAGAAAGCAAAAACGGTGTATGCAAATGGATTTTATGCAATAGTAATCTTCTATGCATGCCCATCATAAATATGGTGTTATTGTGTAACTCATCGTCTGAATCATCAAAATGCAGCAACAACCGAATAATACAATCAGAAAGAAACAAACATGATCGACGAAGCACTAAAAGGTGGAGTGGTTATTAGTATTTAACATTAGATCTCTTATAGCAACTTCGGCGTCATATCACCACTAAATAAAGCACAATGGAACAACGTCGGCGAATGGAATCACTGTTCCGTCCAAAAGTGTTGAAAATTACACTAAATGTAAAAATGTTTGACTTATTTACTGGTTTTCTTTAAATTGTCATTACTAGCATGTCATTTGGCTGATAATATTCAATCTTAATACATACAACACAAAGTAAAAGTTCGTTATTGTACAAATTTATCATTGTCTTATCTTTAAAACCATCGTATGAGCTACAGCCAAATCAAGAAAGTGTTACTCTTACTTTGTAAAAGATAAGTTCTACTTTTTTAAAATAAGGTGTACTATTCAGTTTTTTCTAGAATTGGGTAAACTGCCATGCCGTTTTGAGATGTACATGTCTTTTAAGGCCTATGTTAAACGCCTTATCAACATCTGTAGCGCGTATACGTGTTGTAACTAAATATACACATGAGCGTTAATTAAGCACAACCTGAAACTAAGGGCAATTTTAATTTTTTAGCTCAAAGAAGCGATCAGACTAGAATGCACATGTAAAGCACGTGCTTCACCCAGTCTATAAAATGCAGTGGGTCGCAGGTTCATGAGCTGCGAACGCGCCTAATACATTGGGGTATATATTTCAAAATTGCAGTATGTGCAGTCTGAACTGATATAAAAGATGACAGTACATGTATCTTTCCAGTAAAATCCTAATGCTCTTGCCTCCTCAAATCTGATAAAGATAAATGAATTGGACCTACTTTTGAAATCAAATACTTTAATCCAATCATGTGTAATATTGTATCCCGGGCTGTTTAGTTGGGCTATCTGTCTCCTTAAACAAAGAAGTTCCTCAGCGGGTCCACAACACTTTATTCGGCGTCAAATATACAATAACATGATGGTACAGCAACGCACAGATAGCATCTCAGAGGGGATCATCAGTCCCCCTGCCTTGCCGTTTTATGAGGGCCCAGGCCCGTTGAAAACCAGAATTCTACATATATTCTCACTTTCAGGCATCTTTGTATCGTATGTACAGTAAATGTATGGTCAGTCTGCAGTACCCAGTACCTAATCCACAATATTAAGCTTCATTTGCTGCTGGCCTACACATGGCTTTGCTTTTGACTGCACTGTAAAGATTTAGATATACTACTTTTACTTAACTTAGTGAGTGAGTTTTGTTTTACGCCGCACTCAGCACTATTCCAGCTATATGGTGGCGGTCTGTAAATAATCGAGTCTGGACTAGACAATCCAGTGATCAACAGCATGAGCATCGATCTGCGCAATTCGGAACCGATAACATGTGTCACCCAAGCCAGCGAGCCTGACCACCCGATCCCGTTAGTCGCCTCTTAAGACAAGATTGGTTACTGAAGATCAATTCTATCCCGGACCTTCACGGGTGACTTAACTCAGGAATACACGAACATATCTATACTCCCCTTTAAAACCTACATCCCGCCAAACTGCCAACGATAATCGTCAAAAACTTTGAGATTAATTTATTATACTGTGGACTCTGAATTATCCGACAATCTGTGTATTCCGACATATATTTTTGGGCCCCGGCAGCGTTCTTCTATATTGTCATCATATTAATATTGAATTATCTGACATCTGTACATTCAGAATTCCGATACCATTTTCTGGTAACAATGACACTATCACGCTGTACAATCCGACATCCTCTCCCCATATTAGACTAAAATAGCCAATCAACCTGTCAACGGCTACAATGGAGGACTTTTTGATGAAAGTGTGAATATGATTGTGATTGGATAGTCCGAATCTTATGTACATTGTACTGAAGAGAATAAATACCAATGATACATGTGTATGTAAATACTGACTTTGTTTTTCTCCCTTTATTCACCAAGTAAATAGCTATCAAACAATTTCATGAAGCCAGTTACAATGTATGGTATTGTTTGAAAAAGTATTCAAGCAACGAGACAGTGAATTATCCGATACGCTGTATAATCCGACATGTTCCCCGGTCCCAGTGAGTGTCGGATTATACAGCTTCCTAATACCTACTGAAATTATTTTGGTGTGTAATGTATTGTTTACTTGTTTATAGAGAAGAAGAAGAGTATTCTAGAACTTTTCGTTTACAATGATACTTTCCTTTCTTGATAAGCAACCAATATTCTTAAAGTAGACGTTTCAGAGATCGACTTCCCATAAGATTAGGCAGATCGATCAGGCACCGTAAGAGCCCAAATCTATTCTGATGAACTCTTATAGCCTACAGAATTCTCAGGATCTTGACATGGACAAGCATCACAGTTTGGAATATGTCATCTCTCATTGTGCTCTTGGATGAGCTATTTCAGTAGAATGGACGGTTTTACGAATGCGTTTATCTCACATACTATTTTTTCACATTTTTGTATGCACTTCACTTGGATACACTTTGTATGAAACAATCCGTGGACATAGTTTTGCAATGATATATTATGAGAAATGGCATGTCACTTTGTGTCAATAAATTAATATGTAAAACTGGAACAAACGCAGATACACTTGAGTAGAACTATTTCATTGTCATAAACACAGAACATTTTGGAGCCTAATCGAACATATGGTTTGTTTTTGCCAACAATCTTGACTTCTAGCGCCGTTGGCGATCCTCTTTTGATTTGCTCCCCTGCTTTGATTGACTCTTGTCTGGCATACCTGTCCCAAACAACATCAACTCTAACGCAGTCTGTTCGATTCAGAATTGAAGTGAAGTTGTCCCAATGCATATCAACCAAGTGTCCAAATGTGGTAGCAGCTCCTTTCTGAACATTTGCAAATTTGCCATTCCATCAACTATATGAACTGGCAACATTCTCTCTCTTCTGCTATTATAAGCAGCGAAGGACCAAAAGCTTCCTTTTAAAGTTCATTTAACAAACTGCTTTTGATGTTCTTTTCTAATTTTCCATTTGAATGAGCCATTGTAAAATGAACACTAGGAATGTCCATGTTCACATCAAGGTTGATGACAAATCCATTCAATCTTCCAAATGAATGATGTCTGCATCTTGTGAACATTGGAAGTTGAGTTGTTGTCCCAAAGGATATGTTTCACAGCCTCTTGCATGTTGAACAGATTGGGGCAGAGCAAAGGATAACTTCATAAGTAGTCGATTGAACCCTTCCAGGACAAACTTGTGGTCACCTTTACATCGACTAAACCTGAAAACCTTTTCTACATTGATTCCCAAAAAGGCTGTAAAGCCCAGGGATGAGAAGCTTCACACAACAAATGGATGACAATTTGGATGTTCAAGAAACACTCATTTCATCTTGTGGCCAGTTTGTGAGTTCTATGTAAGTACCAAATAATCCAGTGATGTCTGTAGATGACACAAGATATTGAATGAAAACCTCCCACCAACATCCAACAGTCTAAAACATCACATTGAACGAGTAAACTACCAAGTCCATGTTTGGAAACAGTCTCTGCAACCAATCATGAACATTCCTTCACCAGTTGACCATGGTTGGAGCATTTGTGATGGTCAGCTTATCCCTATTCTGATGTCGAGAGATCTTGCTCCCCATGGATTGGTTGAACTGACATCGTGTAATGCAAAAAGTCAGCATGCCAGCAGAAAGAATGATATAGTGTGCACAGAGGCATGTCTTTTTGTATGGCAGATGATTGTTGCCTGAACACCTTTGACTTGTTGCCAGTAGATGACTCCGATTCTGACATGAGTGAGTTAGTGAGTTTAGTTTTACACCGCACTCAGCAATATTCCAGCTATATGGCGGTCTTCTGTAAATAATCGAGTCTGGACCAGACCACCCAGGGATCAACAGCATGAACATCAATCTGCGCCATTGGGATACGATGACATGTGTCAACCCAGTCAGCGAGCCTGACAACCACATCCCGTTAGTCGCCTCTTACGACAAGCATGGGTTATCGAAGATCAATTCTAACCCGATCTCTACAGATCCGATTCTGACATGAAGTAACATATGAAATGAAAGAAAGTGAAAAGGAGGGTTAATTGCAAGCTTATGGATGTATCAAAAGTGATTAAGAGTTATCTGATAGAACAATTTGAATACCTACAACCAAAGCTTATACGTAGTTATCTGCCATGAAGAATACTTTTCAAACACTTTTTGGATAATGTTAATTCATCAAATATTTTAGGAGTGTGAAGCTTTGATTGACCTTATCATTGAAATTTAGCTCTATTCCTGTACTGTATAAAACATTAGACACCAAATGATTTCTTTTGGATTTCATATCGGTACAAATTTA